TGAGGATGTCAATGTGTGCTTGTATTGTGGTAGCACCAAACATGGCCATCTTGAATGTGGACATGAGAAGAAGGATGAAGTCAGAAAGGTGCTAAAGGCCGTCCGAGCGTCGCTCGAGGCTGATAGTCCAACATCTGATGACGTCGATATGGAGCCTCCTGAGCACAAGAAGGACGGTTCAGGTGCTACTGAAGGGTCGGGGCAAACGGATGAACCTACAAAACCGAGGTTTAGTGAACACCAATGGTACGACAGCATCAGGACTATGTCTGAAGTTGGTGACCTCGATGAGTATGGTAGATTCTGCATAGAAGGACGTGATGTTACAAAGCTAGGACCACAGAACATTGTTGACCTCAACGAAGTGATCCGAGACGCTATTGTCAGAGGAGGAGGTGACTCTTGGTCAGTGCCAGACTTCATGGCAAGCTACTCTGATAACAACATCAGGAAGCCCTTCTACAAGAGAGTCGAGGCGCCGCAAGATGGTTTCTTGAAAATCATCCCGACGACGGGGGCACATTTCTTCAACTGCTCTTACTGGCGGTGTCGAATATGCAGCCAACTACCGCTTCGAGACTGGCAACCGGCTCAATACCTACGAGGACAAGGTGAGTACCTCACTAAACAGGATCCTGCGGCACAACGTGGGGAAGGTATCAGAACAACAGAGTCTGTCATGTGATGACGCCGGCTGGGTGCCCATCGAGGAGGTGCTCAAATGTGAGTCCATCTGGAGGCACGAGTACGCACGCTGGCCACATGTATTCCTTGCCCCAAAAGGAAGAGCAAATGATCAGAATGCCTGGAATGTCAATGAGGCAAACTACCGCATGACATTGCTCTTCAAGATCATGTTCCACTGTGCCCGGTACGGACGTCGTGTTCGTGAACAAGTCTTGGCATTTGGTATCAACAAGGACATTGAGCGCACCAGCCTGACGTGCATTGACAACAAAGTCGATGCGGACACGAACATCCCTGATGAAGGTCTACTGCTCTACCCTGTGGCGGTCCGTGCTCCTACGGGGCACAAAGAAGGATCTTCAAGGGACGACGTCTCATTGCTGTCCTCATTACTTTCACATCCAATCGCGCCCAACACCATTTTGTCATTACCAGTCTGTTTCCACATCACCAAGAAGACCAACCTCCGAAGCATTTGGAGGCAGGGATTAATTCCAGGAGGTCTTGGAGAAGGTCATCGGATGTTCACGTTCTTCAACCCGTATGTGCCATGGGATCACAGATCATGGACCATCACGAAGAGCGTTGATACGCGAAGGGGGGACTACATTTGCTTGTTCGTCCCGACCGAGACCTTGATGGTGGAATATGGCGGTCGACTGACTGACTCGGGACAGATCGTTTCACCAAAGATCATCCCGTTCTCGGCAATCAAAGGAGGATGGATTCAGGACCCCAAGGACCAAAACAATAAGACATGGCTCCGGTTGTTCGTCCCGTCGGGCGACGACCAGGTAGTCCGGTCTGGAACTATCAAATCAAGAACGGTAGCCACCAAGGAGTCCATCTTGAGAGTTGCAAGTCAGTGCATCGACGCCGAAGACCAACCGTTTGACGAAACCGCCATGGATGCCATGAACATCGTCAACCAATTCAAGAACAACCTCATCGAGCCTGGCGGACAAGAGCAATACCTGGCCCGCATCAAGCTGATTGACTACATAGTCGAACGCAAAAGGGTGCAAACTTCAGGTTGCCGCCATTGTCCTCACTGTCTCAACGAGACGCCGACAAAGCTAGCAGTGTGTCTAGTTTGCTGGACGGAACTTGAAAGTTGTGGAATCCGTCCATATCGGCTACAAGCTCCTGAAGACGATGAAGATGAGGCCACGAAGAAAGAGATCGATGAGGAAGTTCGTCGACAAGAAGAATCGTTGTTCAAGGATACGGTTCATCAAGCACAAGAAAACGTATCCGAATCCAACGACTATGGTTTCAATCCTGACGAGGTCGACTATAATGAAGGCGATGATGAGGAAATGGATCAGGAGGAGGAAGCTCAACAGGAAGACGACGAAATCGTTGAAGAAGACGACGACGAAATGGACGTCGAACCTGAAGATGAACCTTCTTCCAAACTTCCAGCATGGACTAAGAATCTCGAGAGCGGCAGCAAGGGTATGCCAGAAGACGGACTTATCAACAATGATGTCTCCGAGGCCGCGGCTCACTTGTATGACAATGCCGTCATGTCAAAGGTCATCACAATGTTCAGGCTCTACTATAAACAGAGAGTCACTCTGACCCCAGAGGAGTACTATGAGATGATGACGGAAACCAAACGAGTCCGGCTGGACCTGGACGACTTCTGCCCTTACACAGGAGAAGACCAGGATGGCAACCTCAAGCGACCGACGGAGCTGGAGTTGGACGAACTCTTTCAGGAGAAAGGGAAGAGGAATTCATGGTCAGAAGGAGAGAAGTTATACTCAGGGCGACCAAGAAACATGATGATGCCTGTCATCAAGACTTTAGAGATCTATGAGAAGATGATGGAATTTCTGGTACGCGCCGGGTACACTCCAGAGTCATTAGGCTTCCTCATGCCAATGAACCGAATGCAGGCTGATGCCCAAGGGAAACAGGAGATGCGAGTGACCATCAGCAATTTCCTCCGACGACTGCTCAAAGGGACCTTTCCAGAGCACGAGTCATACACTTTCTTTCGCTCCGGGAGCCACGGCTTCCCCAACTGCATCGAACTCCCAGCTTTCTCGGTATATCTGAGTCTGAGGGAGAAAGAACAGAGAGTGGAACTGCTCTTTGCCGCCCAACAATGTGGCATTCCTTTACCTCAAAACTTTGTCAGCAAGATGGCTTATGCTATTCAACTGGCTGAGGCCGAGGCGCAGAGGGGAAAGACCGAGATGAAAACGAAGATGGCTCCAACCCTTGGCGACGAAGTGGTGAGTGAAGTATTCAAAGCGGTTGGACATACTGCAGCTTCCAAGTTTGCCAAATCATCCGCACAACCTTCACAGAAACCTGAAGGCACTGGTTCAGCATCATCCTCATCGGCCAGCGCACCAAAGGCTAAGGCTATGCCGAAATCCCATGAACCATCAAAGGCACCGCCTGCGAAGCCCTCATCGCCGAAAGCTGCTCCGAAACGTGCGGCAGGATGGGAGAGAACTCCAACAGCACCTCAATGGAAGAAAGTCCGCCGTGAGCAGTAAACCAATTACCTCTATCCATCAAAATGATCACTGACCTATAAGATGTGTATCGTCTTTGTGAACAGATGATCAGGAAAAGACCAACTGAGTGGACTCTGAGCGAGGCAGTAGACTAATTCGCTTAGGTTCAAGACTTTTGATATTCCCAATCTGCATGAGATTCTGCACAGTGCACGTGAATTCGTTAGTTAGCATCGTAAATCTTTGGTAGCGAAGCGATCCATTTCTCCCGACGGGTGAGTGGTATGCCTAGCCAACGTAGAAAAGTAGGTGTTAGCTAGCAATAATTCGCGCTGTACAGCTTGATGGAGCGCCGATGCATCGACAGCCAAGGAGTAGGCGAACCCTGAACCATTATTCCCGACGGGTATGTGGGGAAGGGGGAGCCGAATGGCATGTTTTATGTAGATAGGCGTAATTCAAGTAGCAGAACCATCTTAATTCAAAGTTCCCTCTCTCGTGTCCGTGGTTTGAAGATACCACGGGCATGGGGGGTGTTAAAGGGAACGAGGTGAAACAACATGTACAGCATGCAGTGTTAAAACAACATGCTGTGACCGCCAAACATTGGCTCAAGCGTATGGAGAAAAGGAATGCGTCGTGTGACTCCGCATGGCATTTGTCGGTTACCAGTAGCAAGGGTACTACAGGTCTGAAATAACATCCAGGACAAGGATTCATTTGTTCACAATATATATATAATTATTTATAATTATATAATATATTAAATATTATATAATTTATATGTAATATAACTTAATGAATGTGACTTGCAAGGAATATCCAGTATGGTGAAAATGCCACAACAATGGCACTCGTGACCAGTGATCATGTTGAAGAAGAGACATTGTACAGACACGGTACGCGTAAATGCCGTGTGACTGAGATGTTTTCGTGGTTTTAGAAGGTCGAGAGTAGAAAAACATGAAAGCACTTAGCATCGCTGATTCTCCCCTGTCTTTTGAGACTGGCATTTATTTGCATTTCTTCCATCACCAGGGTACAATGTGGTGCAGTTTCCTTGGCGGAACACCAAAGTCTTTGTGAAACCCGGGTACCTCGCCAGGATTCTTCAACGGGCGCTTGCTGCTGCAAGTGCCTGGCTCTCGGAGAGTTCACATTCTTTAAGTTACTTCGCGGCATCGCCCAGTCCACCCAGGTTTCTTTTCACTACGGTGGCCGCCTAAGAGTGTTGTTTTCCTATCCACACACAGTCTCCATGCGTCCGTGTATAGCTCTTTTTTCAATTCGATACTGTACCCTACCAAATATTTCTGTATGTGCTGCATACTTGTGGGTGTAGAGTTGTTTTCAACAAATTTAACAGGCCCATCAGGCGCCGAGATTGCATCTTCAGTATGCAGGGCCATTCCTGGACTGCAGAATATTTTTTTGGGCTGGGTCGAGTCCAGCGGGTGGCAGGTGGCGGACTGCTTGTTGTGGATGTTGTGGTGGTTTCACGTACATTGAAAAAACCACATTACTCCCTGGTTGTCCGAGTCATCACGTGTCAGAAACCTGTATAGTCTGTATAGTGATATTCGCACTTATAAATAGGCGTTTGTTTTCCATTGTTTTCTATTCCCAACACGGATCACTGTACGAGCAGAACAGCCAGATCAGTGGAGCCAACATCCTATAACTCACAGCTGGGATCTTTCGAAATGTTCCGTCTATGCCAAGTTTCCAGGCTGGACTGAACAAATGCCTCTACGAAAGGTTGTTTGCTCCTGTCCATGTCATTTCCAATGGATTTTGGATATGGATAGATCGATGAATATTTTCGGTGCCGAGGTGATGAATCTCGTGTCACAGCGAGGTCAAGCTCCACAGCAAGCAGGTGGACCCCCAGGTCGGACTCAGAATTCAGCGGAACGAAGACACAGACGGTGTTTGTTGAATGCTTTGATGGGGAAGATTTGAGCATACTGTAGATAGGCTCGTTCTTTCATTTTTTTTTGGCATAATGGATTTCCTTCGATCCGAATGCTTCGGATTTTATGGTGCAGGGGCTGGTTATGTCTGGTTCCTCTCCATTTTTTCTCGACCTTTTCACATCACCAGATATCTGGTGACCTGAAAAAAGTGAATGACCAAGTGATATCAAGTCATCTGATGATATCTGATGTTGAGATTCGCAGGCAGTGCAGGCTCACCAGGCTCAAAGATTCAACCTGTCGAGGGCCTACGAATCTTGGCATTTGCAGACTTGATGGCGAGATGAGTTTTGGGGAGGTGAAGGATGATCTTGCTTTACAGGCAGTTTCTGAACATGTATTTTGTTTGTAGCTAGCATCGCTGTCAAGATGTTTCTGATTCATTCCAGGCCCTAACATCAGGAAATCTGTCCCTTGCCACATGGCAATTACTAGCCACAGAGCTTCCAATCAGTGTTTCTGTTGGCTCGGGACAACTACCCCATAAATAGGTTGCTTGATGTTGCTTGTATACATTGAATCTTATGATAGCTTTCTGAGCTGCCAATCACAATTTATCGCTATATAAGTTGGTGCCAGTTACACATAGGCACTATATTTTGGCTTCAGCACATTGAGTTGCGGGTCAACCAATCATCCAATCCACTTCTAGTCCTTCCAACCCTTTTCCTCCATAGTGATGCTTCCTGAGGAAACTTGTATGGTGTGAAAGAGGACCGGAGCAACCTCGGCCGGCCAAGGCTACAAATGACAAGTTTTTATTTTAGACTTTGTTCATTCAGTCTGTTTTGCTTCCCAAGGGGTTGATACAGTAAATCCATATTTTAAAAATATTCATTTAGAAAACATTGAAGGGATGTTGAATATCACCTTGGAATGGCTGGAGATGATTCGGACAGTTCACCACCCCGATCTCAAGTACTCAAGATTTCTGAAGGCAAGTGGTACTAGTTCAGGACTGCGAGCTACTCGTACACTATGGCTATCTCAAAGAGGACAAATGGGATGGGCTGTGACAAAGCAATTAAAGCTTCTTCAAAAGGAGACGGATCTTACATATCCATTACATATCCAACTTGGTTCCGAACGAAGTTTGAGAGTGCTTTTTCATACCGCCAGCCTACTGTAGGTGAACAATGATTTATGGCAGGCTAAACAGAACTTACGCATCTAGATTCTGAAACACCTTTGAATTGACATCCATGCAGCCATTGTGGCTCTTGTTTGGGACTGGCGCTATCTCACGCTTTCCTTGACACCATGTCAGAGGTAACCGATCCGAAGAAGTGCCTGAAGTGTAAGGGCGGCGGTCAGATTCTGCAATCCTTCAACTTCATGAACATGACAATGCCACTCAGCGTGCGATGAAGTTCCTTTCCATTTTTGTTCTAGTTGTGGGCCTTTCCTTGTGCTTGTAATTAGCAAGGTTGAGCGTTCATCAAGACATCAGGGTCTGAGGGCATGGGAACTTAAATTTATGTTGCATTGACATCACAATGTTGTCCTACTGCAGTATCCTCAGTCTATCAATGTATCAATGAATGTACCCTTTTTTTGTTGAAAGTTATATAGCGGATCTATGTATATAGGTTCAAATAGGATCTATATAGGTTCGATTTATAAAGCGGGACGCATTGTCAAAGTGTGGTCCAGAGGAGCTGGCCGAAAGATCACTGCAAGTTTTTGTGTCTATGATCTCTGTGGAAGGAAAGAACAAAGTAAGGCAATTACCTCTCCAATGTGATTCATGTGGAGGGGCTGGTTGGACCGTCCCTTGCCAAGCATGTACCTTTGCTGCAGTGAGTGAGCAATTCTCAGCCACTGTTCTACTCAGGATCGTGCAGAGACGTTCTGAAGATAAAAATGTGGAAATCTGAAAATGGATATAAAATGGTATACATGGATCATATATGTTATATATCAGTTTGTTTGGTTTGATGTTTAGTTACCTACTTTGTGGATGACTACATTTCACTCGAAACTAATGAAGCCTTGGTGAGCCCAATGTTGTGAAACGTATAAATCGGTGTACCAGTCTTCAACATTCACCACGCAAGGAGCCCAGCACATCGAAACATGTGCAACGCTATCTTGATTCAGATGAGCACACTCAAATCGATTTCAACCTTAATGGTTCCAAGGTCTGTGTATTTGTGCGCATGCTTTTCATATGCAACAAGCTGCGAACGATATAAATTGATTAGAACAGCCTCCCAATACCCACACCACTGCCACTTGTGCCAGGCCAAGGGCAAGGCGTCCAGATTCAAGTGTTGCGCTTTGGTCCGATGACACAGCAAGTCCAAGTGATTCTTGAATCAATCAGCGGGATTTTTTGGTGTGTCATTAACTGGGTAACTGATGGTGCTGGGGAGTTGGATGGGATCGGCAGGTGCTGTCTTCCAATGGATCCAATCATGAACAGTTCATGACTGAGCCAATCGCCCAGGAAGTGTAGCGATTGCCATGGTTGGGGCAAGCTGGCGGCAGCTCGCCAGTCGCCTACAAAGCGCAAGCGCGTTGATGACATGACTGTGGTAGAGCCTGGGCATTTTGATATGTGCCAAGAATGGCTCACAAAACACATAAATTCAAGCAAAAGATTCAAAAGATGTTACCTCAAACATGCCATGCCAAAGTTCCGCTGCTTTTTTTCTTGGAAGCAGCGGGGGTAGGTACTAAGACCCACTGGAGTGGCGCTGATTTCGGCCACTTGTTGTTCCACATTCGAAGTGGCCAGGCTTTTTTGCAAGGAAAGGACTTCTTTTTGCTGGTCACACGATGTCACACGCATCCTCTTGATAATTCCTTTTCCCTGGAGAGTACGACCAACTGTAGTGACTGTACAGTAGTGACTAGTCTCACGTCGGATCCTAGGAAATGAAAGAAGAATTGCGGAAGATGAAGCGCAAAGTCACCGGGAACAAGGCAGAGCTCCAGGAACGGCTCGGAGAAGTCTTTGAGACCAATGACCGCGGTTGGGTGAGACGTGGTGCCTCCGCGTTTTCAACCATCGGGTATTTGGAAAGTGGTACCTTTCGGGACGTCTACATGGGGACGTACACTAAAGGGCCAAGGAAGAATTTGAAAGGTGTCTACAAAGTCTTCAAGGACAAGAAGGCAGAAGTGCTCATTCACGAGGATTTGAAGGCAGTTGAAGAAGCAGGTCGTATCATCAAAGCCTTCAACGAGCACAATGACATTTACATAGGCAGCACAGCAAGACGCCGTGTGTACCTCAACCAGCCAGAGGTTTGGTCTTTGACAAGTGGCCGGCAAGTTCTGGTTGAACCTTTCATTGATGGCACCTACGCCAAGTTCAATTCCAACAGTGGTTGGGTGAATGAAGGCTACAACATGATGCAGGCTTTGTCGCATTTCTCATATCATTTTACCAATGGCCCCTCCTCTGCGCTTGCTGTTTTTTTGTGTGCACTTGAAACTGCAAATTGGTTAATCCATGCCAATTTAATACTAGACTGGCTACTAGACTGGCCTTGCACGCATCAAGGTCAGCACTTACTTTGTGACCTACAAGGCGGTGGCTATGATACCCACTACGTCCTCACCGATCCAGCCGTCCTGTCCATGAAGCAGGAATTTGGTGCGACGGATGGGGGAAAGAAAATGATGCAGAACCTCGGGCATTTGAACGACAAACGCGGTCTGAAACTGTCGACAGAACATCATAGTCATCAATGATATGTCATATATGGCAGTGGTATGCAGTGGTAACATGTGGTTAACATATACTATCATCATGATGCTAGGGTATCATATAATATCATATAATATCATCATGGTATGAGGATGTGGTACCTGGCAAGTGAAAACAATCATGCGCAGTGATCACAGCCCTGGCGCAAAACTATCAAAAACTCCTTTTCTTGCTGAATTTGCTGTGGGCTCGGCAAGGGGTGATGCCATCCCATGAGATCCCATTTGGGAAACCTCTGAGGAACTTCTTTGCACATCATGTGTGCAATGAGTATTGCCATCGGAGCTGGCGACGAATGGAACGACCTAAAGTGGTAGCTCCAGTTCGCTCAGGGACCTCCTTCTTCCCCATGGCACAGCGTTCAACCGCCATGGACGCCTTTCGAAATGATAAATTTAATCGTTGGTAGTCTGACAGTAGTGGAACTGGGGGAAGGTCCGCACTTAGCCGAGCCTAGGGTTAGCTGTAAACAGGCATGGGTTGAACTAGTTTCCGAAGTGCTGCCAGTTGCATTTTGACATTGTATAAGAGACTTAAACAAACGCTTACGACGAAAGACGTTTTGGCATCTTTTGGCATTGTTCTAGATATTCCAATATATTATATATGTTATATGTTTCATTTTCAAAGCTGGCTATGTATTTGCATTGCAGACTGTTTGCTAACCCCTTTAGTTGGGCTAGGAAGGTTGCATGCCGAAAATACATGAGGGAACGTTTCAAAGTCGACCAACTGGTTCTGTTAATGAAAAATGTAACACCTAAGACGTGATCATTGTTTGCGCTTGTGGACACTGCGAAGATCGTTCCAGTTTTGGCATGCTTCCACTAGGTGGACATTGAACTTCTAACATTTCGTATGGCATCTCTTTTTTCAATTGTCTGAGATGTCATTGATTTGCGATTATCACCGTTCCTAGAGGCTCATGCTCTTGCGAAGAGCTCAACTAGAACGGTGCGGGGCAAGAGTTGGACAAAGATACTATTTTGAACATGCACTGCGTGCACCAATGCTTTTTGCAGGTTTCAGTGTGTCCCACATATGACACCAGGGCGCACTGGCATAAGACGGGGTCTGGGATTTTTCGATCACTGAACTCATGTTTGAGGATACTTGAACTCAGTGTATGTAGCTATGTGAAATCGATTTGCTTCGGGGACCATCCACGATGTGGAACTTCTTATGGGTATGATGAGTTGGATCTTGATGATTGCAGCAATTTGACGACTGATAGATTAGACCAGGAGGAGTTGGGGAGAGGAGGTTAACAGACCATTTGTTCGATGCAGTCGCCTTCTCTATCGCTTCTTCGAGATGATTCTGCAGCACGAGAGGGAGGCTACCTGCCACTGTGGCATGAACATGTCGTGTGCGGGACTGAGCAGACCGTTAGAAGTTTTTGTGCTTCAAAGTTGACACCTGGACCTTGACCCTGCTGTGTGAACTTGTCCAGATTCATCGCTGGAGACTGGAAACTGTATGCGATCATTTGGAATGACTTTGTCACAGTCGCCAACCCACCCAGGTACGATTCCAATGCCACCGAATTCAGCACCCAGGTGAAATGGGGGCAGAGATTGAGCGTATTTTGATGTATTCTGACTACATGTTTTGTCCATGCAGCATGCCATGCGTTTTTGTATGTTTTCGCCAAGTAATTACAATGTATTAGAATGTCCAATCATGCTTGCATCATCACCGCACTGGGATATTCTGCATCATGTGCATTTGTGAAAAACAGCAACAGTTGTGCAGAGAGGTCGGAATCGGCCCTTTGCCAAATGAGGAGGGCCGTGAGGGGACTGCGATGGACTGACTTTACTGATTTTGTGTAAAACTATGTTCTTTGTGATCCCGTGTGCATGGTTTTGCACATTAAGTAGCTGAAGAATGCTGAAGGATGCTGAAGGTATTTGTCTGGATGGAAGGGCGGGTCAACAAAAAGAGTTGAAACATGTTGAAACACATTATATAGAATGTTTATATGTTGTGTCCACCCAGGCTTGTATTTGACAAAAAGTCTGCAAACATTGTGAAGGTCACAGGTATCTATCTGAAAGGTTCCAGATGTGCCGTTCAAGCTGTCACGAGGCTTTGCATGCCGACTCCCTCCAAGTGCCGCACTTGCATGCCACCCTCCTACGGAGGACTAGGGTGCTTTGAGAGCATCCAAGTGATGGTGATGAAACATTCCTGAAGATTAGAACAATTTTAATGATTCAGGCGTGTAATTGATGTGCCAAGATGTGCCAAGTAGATTGGGATTTGGCCAGCCGTGGCCAGCACTCTTAATTTTGGAAGATGTTTTTTATGGATCCAATGGATCTTAATGCATGACATCCCTCCCGGGCAGGGCCATCCAGGCTCAAGAATCAGTTGCCTTTGAAAGTGGGCCATGAATGGCCATGTAAGTTTCTGAGCTTAAGAGATCCAAAGAACCCATTGGAAGGCTACAGTATAGAGGGATATATATATAATTAATATGATGGAATTATATTGCTGTATATAATATATATATATATACAATATATATTGTTTGTTTTTGACCTTGACCCATCAATGACAGCAACCTTGCGACTGGCAGCAGTTTCACAGCCTCTGTGACCTGCACTTGTCCCATGTGTTTCACTTTTTGGTTTCTCAGATTTGGCGATTCGGAATTTGCACATTGACCAATGGTGGTGCCTGGCTTGCTCGAGAGCTTGTCTGGAGCGCAGCCTGGCAGTCGCCGCTCGTCCTAAAAGTCCCGGATCCCAAACTCAAAAGGCAACCTTTGAGGAAATCCTCTTTCATTGTAGGATCTTGACCCCCACACAAAACAGGATGACTGATTGACCCACTCCTTCCGATTATTCCCAGATCATGAGCCACAAAATGACTACAATCTCATCCCAGTTTGCCTGAGGTGTCAGAAAGTCAGAATGGCGTTCAGCCCTGGAATTTATCGTGGAGAAGATGGGTGCTGAGAACTTACGCATCACACAGCTTCGCTTAGGCACAGCCACTCGTTTGTGATTGAGCACTGATAGCTTGGGAACCAGCAGTTGGTTTGGGAGTGGGAATGTGTGTTTCTTTGTTGCACTCAGACAGACTAATGTGGGTTGCTAGAAGCCTTTTACTCCATTGACATCCATTTAATTACAGTACATGTGTTGTGGCAGGGGGCGGAAGTGCTTCATAAACCGCTGCTTGGACAATGATTCAACATATAGGGTATTCATAGCATATGTGTGTTTAACAATGAAATGACACATGACATGCAACCTTGGCACTATAGTACAACATAGCCGGATACCTTTGCAGATTGTGGTTGTAGGGCATTGCTAGAAATAAGTTCATGCGAAACCAAAAGTAAACTAGCACAATACTTGTTGTTTAAATCAAAGGAGACAAAGCATGCTCAAGCTGGTTTCCACGGAAAGCCAAAGATGCGCTGGTTTAGTATTGGTTTGTGCGGTTTTCGTTTTGGTCCGGCAAACTTGATTTCAGACTATAGGTGTCGTGCTTGCTCCTGAAAGATCCTATCCATGTATTCAGAATGTTGGAATTATAGATATAGAGTCTATAGTTGCAAGTGTCAGACACAGGAAGTTCTTTGCCCAAATCAGCTGGGCTTTGCATCACGAATAGAACAGCGTGGTGGAGCGATGTCAAGATTGCACAGGTGCAACTGGCAAACAACCTCTGTATTCTGATGAATATCATACGCGAAAGCACTTTGATGGAAACTCTAAGAAGAAAAAACAAAGAGTGTCGAAAATAACCCCATCACTTGTGGCCAACCCTCTCAACACAATGGATGATGTGGTGTTTTGCCGCTTGCAAACACACTGGTTCAGAAGATGGCCATAGACATTTCACACTTGAAGTAGGTCAGAATTTTAACCGCGTGGCTGATCCAAGTGATCAAAAGCCTAAGGCCTTGCTGTGGAGCATCGTCACCTGCTGCACCATCTACCGCTGCTGGGACATGGCGCAGCTGCGATGGGTTTTGATGTTTCACCACCTATTGGCTGCTGCTGGGCTGGATGAGGCCAGTGGATCCCCAGGGAAACGGAAGTCCTGAACATCCAGCTGTGGTCTTTAATTTTCTTAGTTTTAAGATGTTTTAAGTTCCCTGCTGCTGTTTGATTCATTACATATTCCACCTAGCATGATTCAACTTTTGGCAGCAAAACTCACAGGAATGGAGGATAAGATGAATAGTACCACCCAAATGCCTCTAACATCCCCATAGTCATTTTTTGTTTCCTTTTTTTGCATCCCCATGTTATCCATGTTGTTATCCATGTTGTTGCGTGGCTATCCCCAGCTGAGCAGGGCTTGCTGATGTCCTTCTCGGCCTCGGAGCCGTTTCTCCAGCGGCTGCTGCATCCAGGCTCCCCGGTGACGCCCTGGATGCCAGGGCTGCTGCCGCGGACGCAGACGGCGCACGGGCGGCTAAGGATGGTGGGGAGGGCACACATTATCCCATTATCCTTGGCATGTGGTTTTATGATGTTTTATGCTAGTTTTACAATATTCCTTTCTTCAGGTTGGCATAGAGGATTGAGGTAAAATATCTCCGGGAGCTTGCGCAGAGGGCGAGCTTACAGAAAACTATCCAAACAGAACGTACTTTTGATAGTAATTAATTAGCAGTTAAATCAAGGTTGCCAACCTAGACCCTGCTATGGAGGCCCATCACAGTAGGACAATTACTGTAGATATAATTTGCCATGACGGACTCTGCCCTGTACGCAGGTGCTTGGCGCCTGTGTCTATGCCAGTTTTCTGCTGATGGCGATTTTTCAGTTGATCACCTACCGAGTCTCTGACAAGGTGGCGTGAGCCATGGACCAGTTCTGGGGAATGATACCAAAAAAAAGATGACGTTTAGCGTTCCCGTAGGGTGAAGATGGTTGAAGGGTTTTTGGGTGAACAGAAGCTGTCACCAAGGACGTGATGATCTTCACTGGTGTTTTTCTTCTTGCTTGCACCTTTGAGACTGATGCTGAATGTGAGGGAAAGGTGCTGGGATTGTCTGAAAATAAAAAATTGGCATCAAATGTAATAAATTCGCGAAGCCACCAACAGGAGGACTTTCCTTGTCAGGTGAATGAGGTTTGGACGGTGCTGCACCCCATTTGACTCCCAGGCTATTTTATTGGATACTGGTGCTTGCCAAGCGTGTATTGTGAGCACTTGTGAGTAAGAGCGGAGCTTTGATCACTCATTATTATCCACTCACTTCATCCTGTGGCATCAAGTTCGTAAACCGTTTGGAAACTGCAGATTTTCCTCACGTCTCAGTGCGTCTCAAGTTGCATCAAATTACATCAAGGACCGTGGATTATTTCATTCGACACGACCATCAGATATTCTGAAGTTTTTGGTCTCAACCTTGCTGCCTGGGTCTGAAGTCAACACTTATGTGCTGCTGGCTTGTTTGTTCCTCGGCTCTGCATAGTGTGTTCCTGGTTCTATTTTGTGCCGAATGTGCCAGATGGTCTATTCTGCAGGCATGAACATGGTTTTTCTATGTTTTTTCTCAGAAAAAAATGAAATCTTAATTTTCAGTGTCCGATGGTCAATGGTGAGCCAAGCAAGTCATTTTCCTGCGCAGCGGATCGTTGGGTTTTATGTTAATGTATGCCGTTTACGTATCATTATTTTTAGTTGAGAGCCAGTGCCCCTGGTTTGTGGATATTTATGGTGTTGATATGTCCAAATCCTGCTCTAAGGTACTTTTGGTCTGGCAACTCACTGGCAAAAAAGGACTCTGTCAGGGTCACTTGTTCCTTTCAAACAACCTTCACACATCTTAACACTCATTTTTATTGGTTTGTGAATTGTATCTGTTCCCAAATTAGTTTTCAGCTGCAGGGATTGTCACAGTCTACATGGCCGTGGGTGGAATGAGACCTTGTAGGCGAGAATTGGAACTAGTTAAACAAACCCAAATATTACAGAACACACAAAGACGAAAACATGTTTTTCGATATCTTGCGATTTGGCCGGCATATCAAAGCATGCAGTAAGCATGTCCAATGTCAGTCAATGTGGGTGTTTTGTTACTAATTACTTCAGATTATATCAATGAGATAACAATTTGGATTGTTTGTCCCACAGATGCCACTACACGCACACAGTGTCGAATGAGAAGCTTGCGCAAGACCAAGGTATGTACAAACTAAGGGGATTCTTTCATGGAAACTTGGAAGCGCTACTGCGGGAGGTTGATTTGTAAAGGTTTCCCAAGAGAGCATTTTTGAAAACTATTTGTTGGATGAGGTCCTGTGAATAGAATCATTGTAGTCCAATAGGGATTAATACATGGTTTGTCGCAATCTTGAAATTCGTGAAGGCTTCCCAGACCCAACAGAAGAAGATCCACAGAATCTTCCATCTTCTTATGAAAATAAATAGTCTAGGAAGGTCTATGACCCAAGTATCGTGAAGATTCAGCAGTCCTACTGCAGGTCCCAGCGTACTCTCTAACCATGCAGTAACTCTGACGTTGGCATCGGATGCACTGAGGATTCGTGTTCCAGTACCAGTTCTTGAATTTCTCAGGCATCTCATGGTACCTTCGCAACTTCTACCTCACCAAGGACTTGTACCGGTACTGGTTGCAACATATTCCCAATGAAAAACCACTTGGGAGCAGCTGAACTGTTTTTTTGCAGAGTATCGGAACAAAGCTAACGTTGCCGGATAGTTGATAAACTGAGCCCCAAGGCCGGATATATTTTTTTGGAGGTTGCATGGCAGGGGCATATCAAAAGCCTGCCATGGTCGTTGGATTTGAATTTGGTAGGACTATCTCCCGCGTGCTGAGTTCCGTGCCTTTGGTGCACTGGGGACTTGGATTGAAATGCTGGCGGGCATCGGCATGATACTGACGGACGCTTGGCAGATTTGGACCTTGCATCGGTGGACCTCGGTAAAATGAATAGCAATGCAGCTATCAACAGTTGCCACATGCTAGTCACCGCGATTGTTGTGCTCCTGCATTGTGCTTGAGTTTCAGATGCCGTTTTTAAGATTTTGAAGTCGTAATAAGTCATCACGATAAGGAATAGCATGTGCTTTGGATGATGACTTGTCTCGACAAATCTAAGAGCCCTGATTTCGAGGAGTTGTGTTTGCGCATTAGGCTCTGCCTGGCTACGGAGAGATCTTTGTTTTGTTGGCCGTGGCAATGCACGTGTCCCCTGCATGAACGAGAGGTGCATTGAAAATCATTGAAACACGTTGGCCATGGATATGTTTGGATGATCCCTGAAGATCCCTCTTCAGTGAGTCACCAAAAATGTCACGAAATCATGATGGCCATGGAATGCCATGGACCACGGACTAAGTTCAGGGATCCATATGGATCCATGATCATCCCAGTAGTGGTGAGATGTGGTGAGTATTTACAAGCTCCATAATGCCATATCACGCTCCAAAGGTTTCACGCCTGGCTCATGGCTTTGAGTAATTGTTAAAGGCACATCGTTGTGGTTACTTGTTGTGTCCCTTTGTTTTTTGTTGTGACAATAGTATTTATTGACAATGTCAGTTTCTCATGTTTACATGTTTCAGCCGTTCACCATGATTCGCCTTGTCATGGTTCGCAAGATATCCAGTACGGGCTGAAACTGCCGACAAATGCATTGAAGCTCGTTGAAATACATTCGTGTTTCTTACTTCCTACTTCCCCTTTCGCCCCTTCCAAGTTTCAAAGGTCAATGTCCGTTTCCAAGCCCATCTGGCCAGTTCCATCAATTTCCAAATGTGGTTTCAGCAACTTTCAGTTCGATGTCCACGATTATATTCAATATAATATATTCAATACTGTTCAATAATGTTCGTATCCACTGCCTTTTCTATTTTTTTAGATCCATTTCCAATTTTCAAACTTTATTCCCAAGTTACTTGTCCATGTAGAAGTCCGAACTTTGCCAAGGTCAGAATTAAGATGATTGTATTTTTTCATTTGCAAATCCTATGTTCCATTGCAGTTTCTTTTTGAGTTTCCATGCGTTCTAAGTTTCATTTTCAGTTTCAAAGTTCCGTTTACAGATTCTAAGGCCGGCTTTCATACTTAATATTCCCAGTGTCAGTTCGAGGTTCTAGCTCACTCTAGCGCATCTGTATATGCAGAATCGCGATCTTAAAAACTTATCACAAAGCACAAACTCCTTAGTTCGTCATTGGTGGTGCCTGGCTGCCTGGCTCTCCAATGCGGCCCAGGTTCATTTTCTTTTTTGGCATGGGTCCCTTCCGCTGGAATCTGATGACCTGCTACATGCTATTGGTGTCCTCCAAGCTTTGCATGGAAGGTAAGATGGGTCCAATGGACTCCATGGAGCCAAGTCATCCTGCCATGGAACTGGCTCCTGCATCCATGGCCTATGTGGCCTTTTTTGGTTTGGTGATTCCAAGCATCGGATGTTTGGATCCGGAAACCCTGGGACGATACCTTGGTGGCTACCGTACCGTGGCGATATTGGGCGGTGAGATGTTCTGTATTTCTGTAAACTTTGAAACGTTTCCAAAGGGCTTCCGTGGATTTTTACCGGTTTCTGCCGGTTTCTGCATAGGAAGTGGCAGCATCAGCAGGTTCAGCAGGTTGCGTCTCCTGAGATTTTGCAGGTATGGCCACCTTCCACTTTGCTGGCAACGAGATGTACCACGCCCTGCTGATCTCCAAGGCAGCACTGCCAGAGAACCAGACCTCAACCGGCTCCATACAGCGGCTGTTGCGGCAGCGAGCCCAAGAGTATGATCGGGTCACCGAGGTGACTGGATGATGCCAGATGGATGGGGGGAGGTGTGGAATCACATTGTGGAATGATGATGCACTTGTCAGTACTTGTCAGTAGAAAGATTGCAGAACTACAGGAAGATGCATGTAATACCAGTAGTACCCGCACGAGGCGGGGCGGAAGTTGCCTTAAAGATATATATAAGACCTTTCTCATCTATAGAACTTGCATGCGCCGTGCGCCAGCCAGGCCCGTGCGTGCGTGCACTCTGCGAAAGTGGTGTCCTGTTTCACATGTCACAGAAGCTCCACTTCGCACTTCACGCTTCACACTCCACACTTCACACTCCACACTCCACACTCCACACTTCACACTGCACGCTTCCCACTGCACACTCCACACTTCACACTTCACACTTCACACTCCACACTTCACACTTCACAGTCCACACTTCACACTTCTCACTTCTCATTGCTTTCTTCACACTCCACACTTCACACTTCACACTGCACTCTTCGCGCCCCACACTTCACACTCCACACTTCATCTCATCTGAGCTCTTCTCGGCGCTTCTGCACGTCAGCAAGGTTGAGCGTAACTCATGTTGATTCTTCTACATGCCAAAAGGCGTAGACCATAAAATATTTACAATATTGAGGTCATTAATGCCAAGCGTTGATGCATTGCATCAAATCGCAACGGCAAGTGTGAACATGGTGTAGTTGTTACCTGTCAAGGAGATTCACGCAGTCCAAGCTCGACAGCTGCTTTTTTCTCTGCGCTACACTTGGTCGTCTAGGCTTTTGGCAGCTTTTCGGCCCGCACTGGCACGAAAGGCTGGAGAGCTTATCACGTTGGAAGCCTGGTTGGCCGTCATGGCACTTCACGAAGCAAATCAGGCAAGAAGTTCTCACTATCCGCAATGACATTGCGGACCCAAGCTGCATCTGCTTGCGACAAACGACATCCTGCACCTGCTCGGTAAGCACGCAACAACATGGCCGCAGCGTGCACACCATCATCTGTCAGGGCAACGCAGCGCTGTTCTGCCAAGGTATCGTCTTGTTCCGTGCAAACAGTTGTCAAGGCTTCGAAACAACCAGCGCAGAGTCCATATTTGAAGTAACCCAAACCAATATTCCTGCGCTCCTCGGTTGGGATACTTCGTCTGCACGCGAAGCATAGTGAATTTTGCAACGCGTTGTAGACGTGCAATGCAATCTTCAAGCTATGCTTGAGAGCTGCCATTTCTTCGAAGCCAATGTCAATCCTCAAGTTTTGCGACTCCAAATTTCCTTCCTCTTCCACTTTGCGTTGCATCTGAGAATCTTCCTGTGGCCAACGTGGCCGCGCAGCTCGCACTGGCCAGTGGCATGCAAAGTGAAGATCCGCACAATGTGCTGAATCGGCGACAGCAGTTCCTCTTCAAAGAACGTCAAAGCATCCGTTTCTGGCAACGTGTCGCCAGGATCTGCAAAGTTCTCAGCAGTCAATCGAAATGGCTCCTTCGGCAAGCCATCTTGCGCTCGCTTTTTGGCTTCTTTTAAGCACATATCACAGATTGGTCTCTCGGGCTCAAGCCAATCTTTTTTCGGCATTTGCACAAAATTCGTTTTTTGGTAAGTTTGCGTTTCAAACTTCCCCGGCAACTGTGCTTTCGTCCGCTTGGTGCCAGACCATCCTTCGTGACAATACGAGCAGTCTTGAAATTCAAGCTCGTTCAAAAAAGTGTCGACTTCATTGACACGATGGAAAAAAGCCATGGTGCGGCTTTCGGCATCTGCGGAATTTCCGTACAGTTGTCGCAAACTCTTCGGCAACCTGGGCCGTGGCAAGTGATCTCCCAAGACTGTCTCCCGGCTATGCAACTTGGCTTCATGCGATTTCTTCAGCGGCACAGTGGCTGATGCTGGCAAGAGTTGTCCTAGGGCATTTCTCACCATCTCTTTCTTATCCTCTGTCAGACTCGGAAACGTGCGTTGCATGAAGTCATAACAACAACGAAGTTCGGCATCTCCTTTCATGGCGTGCACTGCAAACAAGGATTCAACACTTGCTGCGCCAAAGGATTGCAATTCTACTTTTCTTCGATCCAGGATCTGCATGAACTTGTCTACCGAATCAACCGCTGGAACACACAACAATGCTTCCCATTCCTGCAACGTCGCCTTCATATCTTCATCAAGCTTTTCATAGCTCCGTCGGCAAAAATTTCTGCCAAATACATATTCTGGCTTACCTGTGCGCTCAGCTGCACGCATAAGTTGAAGCAGCGTAGACTTTTGCATCCCTTGCAACTCTTCTCTGTTATCTTCAAGAATGTTGACGAAACGATCGAACTCCGGCTGCGCAGGTGCATCCTTCACACATACCCGCCGTTCCAAATCCTTCCACTTTTCCTTTTCTTCTTCATTCAAACTCTCATATGTGTAGTTCTTCACAAAACGATAACAAATGCCTCCCCAAGTTCTGCTCTGTGAAACAGTCTTACTCATGCAGACATCCCGCAATGTGCCTTTTCCCAAAGCCTTCATCTCCTCTAAGTGCGCTTCTGCAGCAGCACAAAACTTCCGAAAGGCTGCTCGCACATCTGACACGCAGTTTTCTTTTTCCCATTCTTGTATCACCTGAGTCTGTTCGGCAGAAAAGGTTTTCTCAAGAGCAAGATACATCTTGTAATACTTCCAACATTTTCCGGTGCTTAGACAAGCTTTCAACGTCTTACATTCCAGCACCTTCAAAGTCGCCGCTTCCTTCTCGATGTATGACAACAGATCAGCAAAGGTCCCCGATTGCGCCATGGCTCCACCGCGTCTTAGGAAACGGGCCGCACTGCCACGTCTCCTTGCGCACTGCGACGTCCGAAATTATGAACATGGCTGTCTCATCATGCATACCTTTCTCATCTACTAACCGCTCCAAACATGAGAAAATCGTCGTGACTAACCATGAGAGTTGAATACATGACACCTCTGACAAATGCACGTTCCCAATTCTTTCTTGCTACATGTCTGTCTCCTGGAAAATGCAAACAGCTGCGGCCAGAACAACATTTACCTACATCAATATCGTACACAAAACTCGAAATAGCAACCTACATCCACGAACTAGCTGACAAACTACATCCCAGTACTACTTCCCAGTACATACTACTTGGCACTACACAGCTTGCACCCAATACTACTTTGCACTACAAAACTTGCAAAAATTACTTCCCAGTACTACTTTGTACTACAAAACTTGCACAAAGTACTCCCCAGTACTACTTTGTACTACAAAGCTTGCACAAAGTCGTTCCCAGTATGCTACAATTTGCTGCTCCAAAACCGGATGTCGACGCCAAAGCAGAAGAAAGACGATTTTGAACCACTTTTTCAAAGGAATTTTAAAAGGAAACTTATTAGCGCCAAATTTGAGAAAATTTGCTGACAAATCACTTTCGCAGCCTTGATGCAGCCATTCCAATACGATTTACGATCTTCAGCTGCAAAAGACAATAATATTACGCATGCAGCCGCTGCACCAAGCAACCTTGACGCAGCCACTACAATGCGATCTGCAGCGACTGAGTTGCAAAACACAATAGCGCACAGACGAGGTACCTTTCATCGTCGCCTGCAGCCACTTTACACGGAAAAACACAAGGTTTCGTGCTCCGGCTTCCTCCCCAAAACAGAGCCCTTGCAACATCATGCAGCCATTCCAATGCGATCTTTTCGCACAGATTCCAAAACACCCTATAACTACGCACACACAAGCACACCCAAAGAAGCTTGAAGCCACCGTTACACTGCGGCAAACAAAAAACGATAAACCGACCCCAGCCGCAACCGCCGCACAGACGAAGTACCTTTCATCGTCGCCTGCAGCCACTTTACACGGAAAAACACAAAGTTTCGTGCTCCGGGTCCCTCCCCAAAACAGAGCCCTTGCAACATCATGCAGCCATTCCAATGCGATCTGCAAGCACAGATTCCAAAACACCCTATAACTACGCACACACAAGCACACCCAAAGCAGCTTGAAGCCACCGTTACACTGCGGCAAAAAAAAACGACCAACCGACCCCAGCCGCAACCGCCGCACACACGAGGTACCTTTCATCGTCGCCTGCAGCCAATTTACACGGAAAAACACAAGGTTTCGCGCTCCGGGTCCTCCCCAAAACAAAGCCCATGCAACATTCATGCAGCCATTACAATGCGGTTCGCAGCAGCAACTCGCAAACTTGCACCTATCTACGCACAGAACAACACCAGAACACCAAATGACAACAGTCATGCAGCCATTCCAATGCGATCTTTTCGCACAGATTCCAAAACACCCTATAACTACGCACACACAAGCACACCCAAAGCAGCTTGAAGCCACCGTTACACTGCGGCAAAAAAAAACGACCAACCGACCGCAGCCGCACCCGCCGCACAGACGAGGTACCTTTCATCGCCGGCTGCAGCGACTTTACACGGAAAAACACAAGGTTTCGTGCTCCGGCTTCCTCCCCAACTCATCACTTCCCTTCCTCACCACTTCCCATCGTCACCACTTCCCATCGTCACCACCTCCCTTCGTCACCGCTTCCCTTCCTCACTACTTCCCTTCCTCACTACTTCCCTTCCTCACCACTTCCCATCGTCACCACTTCCCTTCGTCACCACTTCCCTTCGTCACCACTTCCCTTCGTCACCACTTCCCATCTTCACCACTTCCCTTCGTCACCACTTCCCTTCGTCACCACTCCCCTTCATCATCACTTCCCTTCCCTTCGTCACCACTTCCCTTCGTCACCACTCCCCTTGCTTATCACTTCCCTTCTTCACCGCTTCCCTTCGTCACCACTTCCCTTCTTCACCACTTCCCTTCCTCACCACTTCCCTTCGTCACCACTTCCCTTCGTCACCACTTCCCTTTGTCACCACTTCCCTTCGTCACCACCCGTCATTAACTGCTTCTTATTCTTTTGTTATGTATTGTTATGTGATCTACCACCCTGCATCATTTCAAGTCGCTGACTTCTATTTGTCCGTAACACGGAAGTATTGCTTCCCAACTTCCTTTGATAATGTAATGAATTAGGATTTTTGATAATGGAAATGACGAATTCACAGAAACCATATCAATGCTGCCGAAATTTAGACTGTCCCATCCAGTCTGCCAGTCTCCCAGTATTAATGGCGTATTTGTCACTGTCAAGCAGCTGAGTTTTTCACAGCTGTAAACATGATTTGAACATATTTGAACCATTTAAATATCATTTCAATATCATTTCAATATCATTTCAATATCATTCAAACATTATGACATCAAACTCATCAAATATGATTCAATGACATCCTCCTGCCTCGTGACAGGACCTGGATCTCTTTACGGCGCTGTTGTACTCTGACGGCCTAGACGTGGAAGGCGCCTTGCGCCGGGGCTGTGGACGGGTAGAACCCACCCTCGACTTCGAGGACTTCGACCAGATCCTTGGTGAGTATTTGATGGCACTGTGGTTCTGTGTTTCTTGCTGAATAGAGATGATTATGTATCATAATATAATATAATATAATATATATAATTATACGGTAACGACATTTAAATCTGTGGAGGGCGGGCCAGACCGCGAGGCCCCGGAGGTAGTATGAAATACCAGTTCGTATATTTATATAAATGTAGTTGCCGTATGTTTAATGAATTAGATTGCGTATGTTTAAATGGCCGGGCGGGCCAAGGAAAGCCTTCCCGGAGGTAGTCTAAAATACCTGTTAGTATATTCAAAAGTCCGTATATTGTATGATATATATTAGACAATATCATAATATATTATAAATGCATATAAATGTTTTTTTTTACATCTGAAGCTCCATAATGATGAAGAGGGCCATCGGACATCTCATGGGACCCTTCATATCAGTTTGGTTTTGAGGTGGGCTCAGAAAGCTTCCAGGGTGTGAAAAGCCCAGCAGTACTTGACTACCACATCCGAGGAAGTACATGTTCGTGCCCATCACATGGCTGAACTGCCGCGGGCCGTTGCTGAACACCAAGTGCCTCAACTGACCTCCGTAGTCAGGTGGGAAAAATCGGCTGCCGGCAGGACTTGCAATCATGTCTATATATATATATTAATTAGTATTATATATTTGCCTGTGGGGCAACACGGTAACACGCAATGCAGACCGACATATAGAATGTTTTAACATTTTAACCCGTTTGTTCTCTAAAACTGTACTTGCATCTTCTCATTCACAAAAATGTAATTGAAGTCTTTGGTAGCTCGAGGGCTGCTCCAAACTCTATTTGCCTCACCAAATCGTCAATCCCATTCTGGGATATTCTGGGTGTAAACCTTTCTCATCCTGTTTCCCTATATTTGAGACCTAAGTTGGGGCTTTGTTATCTTTGTTTGCCTTGAGACGGCCCAAATCCCATATGTTCCTCGACCTGAAAGTGACATGAGGTGGGATGAATCCTTGCCCATCACTGATAGCTTCGTGGAGCTTGTGCTGGATGCCCTGGGATATGCCGAAGCTCAGCTTCCTCGAGGTGTGGCCCTTCTTTTTGTGGCACATGCGGTGCCATGGCTCGGCGGACAGAGGAGCTGGAGCTGGGGAAGATGTGTTGGGTGTGTATATGGTGTAGTGATGGACATGAATTGACATGAAGGTGCTTTTGGCATCTTTTGGCATCTTTCAACAAGTCGGGATAATTATGGAAAATGTATATTTTCGAGGAACCCGAGGCACGATCTTCACATCACATTTACATTTACTACTTTTGCCTGATAGGAAACGTGTCGAGCTATTCGATCTTGCGGACTCCAAATGGTCAGACCGACGTTGGTGCGAAGATGCTGCGCTACCTTGGACTTTGCTTGCACAGGCAGCAAGCCAAACCACGAACTGCAGTGAAGCTGGGCACACAAGACCGAGCGATACCCTGTGATCGGTGGCAGACTTGTTTCCAACATCTTCTAACCAACTTTACAAGCCATCGGAGCCACGGTGATACACTTTACAGATCTTGACAGTTCATTACTTTAGCTTTGTGGTTCTCTCATCATGTTTCGCTCATCATATTTGCACATGTCACTTTGTACATCTTTATACGATGCACGGATACATAAGTTCGCATAGACTAGCCTTGCTTCCGAGGATGCTAAAGTGCCACTGCTTTGACAATGACCCATCTATTGAGACGCGTAGCGATGTTCCCCAAAGCTGGGATCACATTGACGGTCTCACTGCGCCAGAAATGGAAATTGTTCATTGTCGATCAAGCGAACGATGCATGGTTTATCCTTTGCTTTCACATTTAGAAGTCGCTGTCAGGAATATGTTCCTAGCGGTGGAACGAGGAGAATCTGTACCACCAGAGGAGGCAAGATGCAAAAGATACCCCTGGCAGTGTATATTGGTGTTGAGGAAGGGGAAGAAGGGGAAGGCACCTCCTCGTGCCCCTGGCTTCGTTCACAATCAGACATGACCATGGCTCTTGCTTTTATGATATAGTAAGTGTAGAATAGTGTAGATTTGCTTGTCCCAAACGGTCCCAAACATTTCGGTGGCATGTGTGAGTAGTAGCAGCGCTAGTGACTCAAGCAGCTCAAGCATTTGCATCTAGGAGATGACTGTGGATTGCTTCAGACAGTGGATGAACTCTGACCCGATGCGGTGTGACATCCCTCCATCCTTCACAGTCCTCAGTACTCGTAGAAAAGATCCCTGGTATCCAGCACCACAACGTACATCATGGTGCGTCATTAATGGTTGCGAAAGCTCCAAATTGTGCAACAGGTGGTACAAAGTTCAATGCCTTTGGTTGTGACCATGAAGAACTTGGACTCCCACTCAGGTGGCTGCACCGATTTTTCTGCTGTTGTTGTTGTTGTTGTTGTTACTGTTGGTTGGTCACATGTGTCGCCAGATGTTACAGTTACAGTCACAGTATATAAATTATGTTGAATGGCGAAAACATGCTTATTTATTAGGACTCGTTGGTTTGTCAAACTATGTATATAGACACTGATTAGCTTGGATTTATTTGGAATAATTTTCCTTTGTCAAGTTCAATGTTTGTTTTACCGGACCAAGTCCATCATAAAGTCAAGCCCTGAACAACTCTACAGAGGTGCATATCCTTTGGCACAACAACATGAAATGAATTGAAGCCTTTGCCATTCACTATCCCGGATACCCCTGGTAGATCTCAGATACATTGTGTTTTGGTCTACTCTTGAGTGCTGCAGCGCTTGAGCCAAAACAGTTTTGGTGGTTGCTGGTCAACAATAGAGTTTTGCCAATTCGCCCTAGCGGCCAGAAGCGAGATGGGACGCAGGAAGCTCTTGATGACCAACACAGCCAGTGAATGTCACAGTTCTCCTTCAATTGCAGTTTTGTTCCTCACCTGGCCAGAAATCGACACAGCCAGAATTGGTTTACATTCCAGTCCCGGTTAGACATGGACCTGCCTAGCTGTCAAAAAACATGAAACATGAACTCTTTGTTGTTGGTTTTCTTCACTGCAAATTCAATGCACAACAATTCCACAGCAAAACTGAGAATGAACAGGGACTGATGCACTGAACGCTGTATCCGCTTCCTGCGCCATGTCGGAAGAATTGCCAGAGTTGGTGGCGCAAGAGATTGAGATTCTGAGAGACTCTCGGTTTGCAGAGTTGCCAGTGTGTAAGCGCTTCCAGTAGACTGTAAGATGTGTTTGCATGATGCCGCGCCTCCAAATGTTGTCTTGAGGCAAGGGTGTGAGATGTTTGAACCTGCACGGGGAACTGCAGCACAACACATCCGCTACGAAAGCCACACCTTCCAGATCACACCACACCAACTGGTGATGATTACAGCCCATCTTGGGTTTCACGGAGAAACGACGAAGCCGCAGTCATGAGGCTATCTATGGAGAAGAGCCCGTGCGGCCCGGGGACCATGCCCGGCGGCTTTGAAATTACTGGGATTTGGAGTTAAGACAGGTTGAAATGGTGGGTCATGATTGGCACATGCGGATGATGAACAGGAAAGCCATCAGATCCATCAGCCTCCCAGGGTTTGCAGCAAACAGTTCCTCACCACTCGGATATTGACCCACAGGTGACTTCAACAGATCAAGTCCTCTTCACAGCTGTCGTTTCCCGCCCGCAACAGGCTTCTCCAAAAGAAAATTGGAGATGACGAGGAGCAATATCTGATGGTGCCATCTACAGGTGTAACTTTGTAATGTGAATAGACAATTCTCATGAATCTAACTAAAATATACTAAAATAATTTAGAGATTGTCAAAATGGATTATGATGACGAGGAGGAGGAAGTCATATACTGACTATAGTATATGGCAGTATGTGGCATTGTTTGGGTAGGACCACCACTTGCTCAAATTCAAGAGCTCAAAATGCAACTTAAGAAGTCATGATGCATGTTCAAGCTACGATGAAATAGCTGATCTACACATAGCGTTGGCTGGGCTCCACAGCTCACAGTGGAGAGAAATAAACACTTGCAGATCTAGTCCTGTACCACGGAGCGAATGTCTGACTGGGATCCAGTGAACACTTCATGGGTGCCTTATCTTGACAGGAAAACCCTGCTATTTGCTGCTTGGAAGTGGACCTTGAGCCCATGACTGAAGAGGGCATACAGCTGGCTGCTCGGCAATGGGGTTATGGGATGTCATGGGTCCTGTGCTCTGGGAGTTCCCACTCACGGGAAGGGCGGCATTATGGGATCACGATGACAAACGCCGATTTTGCTTCAGAACTTGACTATATGGATTGCCTGCCTGTGGCCTGCAGCTGATGATAAGGCATGAGCTTGTGTATTGTTTGGTTCAGAATTGCATAACCTATCATTTGGAAACATTTTGGGCTCCAGGGAAATGTGAAACCAGACCAACATCCAATCATGTCAGGAAACTTGCTCAGTGATTTGTTTTGACAAAAGAAAGGATCGTAGTTTTCTGCCATGCGACATCATGTATATATGCAAGTCATGCAACTCCTGACCTGACTCCAATGCACAAGGAAAGATCTGAGTGGAAAGACAAAGCAATTGGATGCCGTTTCCACATATGTAAGAAGTGAGACCTCATGGCCCTGAGAGAATTTCTTGCAACAGGTTCTCTCCAGAATTTCCAAGTTTTTTCGGAGCTTCCAGCTGCCGAGGTGTGCGCAACTTTGCAGGTGAGGATTCCAGCAGGCTATCCCACCTCAGCCACACCCAAGGTGTTTGTGGAGAGGTCCAGAGGCATTGGTGATGTACCTCGTCATGATTCGTCATGTCTCGGTTTACGACGTGGCCCGAAGTGGAAATGTTGGACTGGGGGGTCCCCAAAAACTGAGGCAGACTGCAAGAAAAATGAAGGTGTGACTATGTCGTTTATTCTTTGATCCAAAGTTCTATTTGCATTGTACATATTGTACTCTATCATATGCATTCATATCCGACGCGCAGAACATATTCTTCCCAACTTTTGACCGACGACATGTTGGGCCAGCGAAATATCGTGGAACATATCGAAATATGCAATTTTCTGACCCTCGCATGGCATGAAACTTTTCACACCTCCCTGCCATTTACAGCGCATTTCCTTGGGTGCTGGGTGGACTCCTTTTCCATCGCCCCAGCGCTGTAGGTCGCTACAGAAGCCATGATGGAAGCAGCATCTTGTTTCAAGATGATTTGTATTTCAGGATCTACCTGATGATCATCCCAGTGGAAGTCTTTCAACTTTGATGTGGGTGGTTTGTTTAGACAGTGTTTGTTACAATAGTCCTTTACGCAGCCCAAGGGAGAGGCTATACAATGCTGCAAGTAGAACATCAATGAACATCTATGAACAGTTGGTCATGGCGCAGCATGTTGCGTTTCGAATCGTTTCGAGTTGTCACCACTTGGGAGAGTATAATAACCCCGCGACTATTCGTTTAGTCTTCCATGATCCCCCATGAGCCATTTTTTGCTTTCACTAAAAAGAAAACGATAAGAGGAATAACAACGATAATGTAATGTTGGTTATGTTAATGATCTGTGTCCAGACGTTTGAAATCTGTTCTAGTCTTGAGGCTGAGAAGGCTGTGCAGCATCATGGCCTGCAGGAGGAAGGTTGCTTAGCACCTCTGCTCTCGGAGGTGGGTAGCTTTCAGTCCTGACTCACACAACTCACCTCGGCCATCCCAAGCGCAGGTGAAAGATGCTCTAGGCAAAGCTGTGTCTTGGTGAAATGCAATAAATATTGCTGATATGGCTGGCTGATTTGGTTCACAAATGACAAATGTTCACAAGCTTCAATGGTCCCAACAGTTCTGGAGTTTGTCGCAGCAGTCTTTGGATTGTACCAAGGTCAGCGAATGTTATATTTGCATGATGGATTGTGATCCCAGCCACTTGCCCTGAACAAGTGTTTGTTCCTTGTTCAATCAGTATAATAGATTATAATAGATTATAATAGATTATAATAGATTATAATAGATTATAATAGATTATAATAGATGAATAGATACATCCCAATTAATCAGTATAGTTCAGTACATCAGTACAGATCAATCTACAGTAAGTCTTGATCCACGCGAGCACCCTTTCCCTTGATCTCTGAGGCAGCGCCATTTTCGTGGCTTGTAACTGCGTTTTCCATCGCGATTGCCTGGAAGAATGGCGAGGTCTGAAAGATAGGGCGGGGAACTCAGGCGAACTGACTCAGGTATCCTGGAAAGCTGAACTGACACAATGCTGCTGTCACTGCAAGTGGCAAATGATATAGATTCAAATGGATGAAGTTCTTGTTTTTGTTGTATTCGATACATATTCAAGATCTTTCAGATTGATGCATTCTGGTTGCCTTCGCAACATAGGGATGAGAGGGGCTGGACGGCTGGACTGAGGAGAAGACAGCGAAAGCAGATGCAGCGACGGAAAGCATCAAGTCACAAAAGGATGCGCTTGAAAAGATGTGCCCCAACTGCATCCGGCTGAGGCAATGAATGTCAATGATTTGTCAAACTTGTATGCTAACAGCTAAAACGTATTTGCATCTATTGTTTTGGAGCCACCATGAGCCACCTGCAGCAAGCCCGTTGGCTCATGTTTGTGTGCGGGGGACATGAGCAATGAGTAATGTGGGAATCATCCACTATTGCGAGCCCATGCGAGCCCCATTCCGTCAATGCGAATCCTTGGTGCACATTGGACCAAGGTGCGCAGAAGCAAATGAGCAGGTAGAAGAAGCCGACAAGCAGGCACTGGATGGCAGGATGATAGCAGGATGGCAGGGGATGATGCTACCCCTCTGCCTTGGCTTGCCACAGGTGGCTTATGCGCAACTGCAGATGGTTTCTGGGCTGAAACGAGTGGTTTTCACTGATTTCATGTTAGCCAATTTCCAGAAATAGCAGTTCCCTAAGGATCGAGCAGCCTCAGCTGTGGAGCAGGCCATGAAAAAGGCTTGGGCCATTGCCCAAAGGGGTCGGATTGTCTTCTTTTGTAGATGCATCAAATAGAGGAAACAAGCAAGCACTGTATTTGCTAGACCTGCTACTGTAGACTCTTCATTGCTAATCATGCAACACAATGCTTTGTCTACTATTGTCCAATCACAAGTTTCACTAGTCATATGTCGTCAACTCAGAGCTTTAACACCGTTCACCAGGCACAGGCAACTGCAGAGGATGATGAGGAACAGGTGCCTAGCGAGGATGAAGCCAATGAACAGGCGGGGTTGGAACATGTTGGAACTACATCGACACAACACCAGGAGTTTTGCCGTGCGCCAGGAGGCCGAGGAGTCAGACAGCTCAGTGGAGTTGGACTCTGTGGATTACCGAAACGAGGCATCGCAAAAGGGAGGAAATG